GGAGCATTGCCCGTAGAGTTATGTTCAGTGATGTTCTTAAAGATTCATGACAGTGAATAGATGAACGAATTGTCTTCGCTAAGAAAAACTTAACAACATAATTCAGTTGTTTGAAAATTATGTTGACGTAGTAGGTACTTTGTTTTAAAGACTTGTAAGGAAAAAAATGAAAAGGACAAGATGAGAAAGTGTTTTACTTTCTGTCACTTAGCTTGAGTAGGGAATGTTCCATTTCCAATTTTAGATGTGTTAACAAAATGGGAAATGAGGTCTGAGGAGATTGCTCAGTGGTTAAAGCACTTTCTGCAGATTAAAGGAATAGGAGGACCAGGACCCTGGCAGATAGGTACTGTCTTGATATGACAGGGAACGTGCACCCATGAAATCTCAACAACTTGGTTTCCTAAACAAGACCTGCATAATGAGAACACCAACTGACATGCCAGTGTGGATGGGGGGAAGTTTCACAAGGTCTCACACCTCTGGATAAGAGCTACTGGGAGTCAAGCTGCTGAGAGAGGGAGAATCTGTTTTTCTTCAGTGATGACCTCCTGCATAGGGTATCCAATTCCAGATGGTCAGTCCCAAAACAAGTACACACAGACTCCATAGGTTGTTTCTGCGTGTGTATATATGGTTTACATATACAAACATATATGGAACTATCATAGTTAAAGAAGAGGTCACAAACTCGTAGGAAGTAGGGAGTATTCAGGAAGAGTTGGAGTGAGGAGGAAGAGAGGCAGGAATGATGTAAATGCAGTGTGCATGTATGAAAGTCTAAAACAACTTTTAAAGTAATTTCTGCAAGCAAGAGGACCCACATAAATACCAAGTGGGTGTGGTAGCCTGCCTACAGTTCAGAGGTCAGACACGGGGATCCCTGGAGTAAGCTGGCTAGTGAGCCTAGCCGTATCAGTGAGCCCTGGGTTTGACTGGTAGTAGCCCCTGCCTCATCATAGAGTGAAGTGTGGTAGAGGAAGATCTTCATCAGCCTTGGGCCTCTACATGCATGTACAGACGTGAACCCCTGCTATATGAGCACAAATATACACACATGCACACTCTACACATAGACACATGAAAAGAAGAAAAAGAACAATGGGCAATGTTTTCATAAATCATAACAAGAATGAATTTTTAAACATGATGAACAATGCAGAAACTCATGACAAGATAAGGACTGAGAATAAATGAGAGATGAGCTCTCAGTCCCAAACAAGATGTTTATAGCATCCCCTCTGAGGCTCAGGTAACACTGTGGAAGAGGGCTGTGGCATGCCATCTTCTTGGCAAAAATTGGAATCACGAGCACACAGCAGGGGGGATGGATACCCTGGGTCTGGAAAAAGAGGGGTTTGTCAACAGTCAGGCACTAATGGAGGAGGGACTCTGGGGCCCTACCCCAACTATTTGCTACTGATAGATTCAGGGAGCAGGGAAATCATTGCCTTCAGTTTTGTACCTGCTGATGACCCCACCAGGTTCCTAACAGGCAGTTCTAGTCCAATCGTTATATGGTGACCCTGCTTAAATTAAATAGGACACAAAACCGAAAGTCACAAACCTAGGAACCAGACTGGTAGTGATGGGGGGGGAGTTAATAATGACAAGAAAGAGATAAGAGAGGGTGAGAGACATAGAACTGGGAAAATGAACAGCAGACCCCAATCTTATCTAAAGGAATGTTGGCAACTGATTGCTGCTAGATGAGGAACAGCTGATCTTCCTAAAACAAGGAACTCTAGATAGGCTGACTAGACTCAGCAGATGGACAAGCACTGGGGAAGGGCTGGGGGCACCGACAACACAGTGGACAGTAACAGGGATGACAGAGTATATGGGCTCCAGTGGAGGGGAGGCTATGGGAGGGTGCCATTTGGGATGTGGGTATATAGACAAATAAGATTGTTTGGGATGTTTTGTATGAAATACACAAAAAATCAATAAATAAAAAAATGAGTTATATTTGAGGAAGAAGCATCAAAATTTGCTTCATGTTAATTAATAGATGTGAAAACATTACCATTGAAAACTACCTGATGACTTTATATCCATGCTCAAGTGCTAAGGATCTCAGAAAGTGACTGTGACTAGTAATAATCAGATACATAGAGATTAGAGGCGTATGTGCAAACATCTAAGTTAGTTGTATTAAAAATGAGTTTTTTCTGTATGAAACAGTATATTTTAAAATGGAGACCTTTTTTAAAGGTTAGAACCTCATCCAATTTTATGTCTTGTATGGTTTATACTGAGTACAATATTGTATAACTGTATTAATTCAACTGTGAACCTAAAAATTAACAGCCAATTTTGAAAGAGATGCATCTTTGCTCTGGAAACTGTTATTGACTACATCAATGCTGTTGTAATGAAATGCTTCTACTAATTAAGTAGTTATTAAATAAATAATTAAAAAAGAGAGGGTGGGAAAAAGAGAGTAATCAGAAAACATATACAACAAAACAACAAAATTAATCAGTTTTTTAAAAATAATGAAGCAGGGCAAACAAGATGGCTCAGCAGGTCAGGGCACACACCTCTAAGCCCAATGACCTGAGTCTGATCCCTAGACCTCACATGGTAGAAAGATAGGACCAACTCTTACAAGTTGCCTTCTGATCTCCACATACATACTGTGGAATGTATGCATATGCACACACACTAAACAAATAAATGTAATAAATGTTTAAAACACTTAAGCAATCCATTTCAATGATTGTCACAACTTCATCCAGAGTTAGGCTTTTTTCTTTTCTTGTTTTAAATTAAAAATTATTTTTATTTTATGTATATGAGTGTTTTGTCTGAATGTGTATATAAGTGCACTTGTGCATGCAATACCCACTGAGGCCAGAAGAGGGTGCCAGAAACCCTGGAACTGGAGTTAGGGACCATTGTTAGCCGCCATGTGGGTGTTGGGACCTGAACCCCATCCTTTGCAAGAACAGTGTGTGTTCTTAACCACTGAGTTATCTCTCCAGCCCTTCTTGCTTTTAAATTTGCTTTAAAAAATTTTTTAGACTTACTACGTGTATGTACATACCTATGAGCAAGCCTGTGGGGTCAGAGAACGATTTTCAGGAGTCAGTTCTCTTTCCACTATGTGGGTCCTGGGGCTCAATCTTAGGTTGTCAGGCTTGGCAGCAAGCACTTTTACCTACTGAGCCTTCTCCTCAGCCTGCACTACTTATTTTTATCTAGTTTTGAACAAAATAGGAAAATAGAAATAGATTTCTACCTCCTTGGTCTTGATAACTTTTAGAAGTTCATGCACTTTGATGGCTAAAATGAATGAGAACACATAGTGTTAAGGGCCTTGGATTTCCAGGACAAAGAACTTTTAGAAGAACAAAGTAACATTATTAATGATACATCATTTTCAGTTTTCATTCATTTTAATGGGAACTTAGTTAAGACCTCAATGTGCAGGGCAAGACTATTAGCTAAGATTCTTGACAGTAAGAACTTTTGCTTTTAAGGAAAAAGATAAATCACTCAAATTGATCAAAAAGACAAACTGAGGGGTTCAGAAGGCAGTGAGTCACTATTCCTTTACTGCATCTCCCCAAAGCCCTGTCAACAGTGGGTCCTGATGCTGAGCCAGCCTTACCATCTGCCACAGCTTCCCTTGCACTCTGGCCCCCTGCCTGTCTAGGAAATGCCTAGTGCAACTTTCCCATTCCTCTCCTTCTATGACCCCTAGTCTGTGCTGGGTCTCATTGCCCAGGACTTTTCTGTCCCATGCAGGCTTGGAGAACAGTATGTTAAATGAAGGAAGACTGGTCTACTCTGGGACCCCCCCCCCAGACACAGACTACTACTGATGGCTGTCCTTCTTATCAGGGAGTCTATGGAGGATGCATGTCTATAGAAAATCAACAGTTGGAAAACTGTTAGAAAATTTGGCAAATCCTTTACAAAGTGCTGCTGTCATATAAGCTCTCTTTGGAGCCTTGATGTGTTCCAGTCAGCTTCACTAAAGCCTTTAAAAGACTCTTTCAGATTTTTTTAGAAGGAATTAAAAGATTTTTTCCTGGGGGAAAATATAGTTCTTAACTACTATCTAATATCTTTAAAAAATATTTTATTATTTTTATTTTTTGCATATGAGTATATTGCCTGCATGTGTGTAAGTGCACTCATGTTGTGCAATGCCCATGGAGGTCAGAGAAGAGCATCGAATTCCCCTGGAACTGGAGTTACAGATGGTTGTTAGCCGCCATGTGGGTGTCAGGAATTGAACCTGGGTCCAATGCAAGAGCAGTCAGTGCTCTTAACTGCTGAGCCATCTCTCCAGCCCCCATCTAATAACTTGCTCTATTTTACCTACAGAAAAAAAAATTGGGGATGCAAATGAATGTCCAATACAAATAAAGGAAGAATTTGCTTTCGTTACAGTAGCCAATGACTTTCATCCAAGGTCATGTAAGAAACTGACTGATAGCACTGAGACTCTACCAGGAACTCTTTGAGAAGTTATTCAGGATGTTGAGATCTCCAGTAACAGGAGTACAGACCTGAAAGTGAGGCAGGAAGACCTGTGGTTATTGCTAAGCAATATTTGCCCCAAAGGACATTCTCTCCTTGATTTTTAACAATTGCAAACAACAGCAAACTGTTGAGTTGGTTTAGTTGTGGAGACCCTGGTAATCACAGCTTTTTTTCTCACTGGGGGCCTCCCACGGACCCCTCTATTTTTAATTTTGTTTGTGCCTTTAGTGTACACGGTAGGTCAAAGCTCATTTCTAATCCAATTGCTGAGGTTCATTCTTGTATCTTACTCTTAGAAGACATACTTCTGTCTAGGGAACATGAGAACGCAATCAAGCAGGCAGGGTCCTGAGACACTAGACAAAATGCTACACAGCACAGGGGGGGTCAAAGATCACCTCAGAAAATGTGTGATATTTTCTTTTAAACTTTCTGCTCTTTTGTAATTTCAAACACCCAGCAAATATTCATAATTTACAAGCACTCAAATGTAGAGGTAAGGCTGCTGTGATCACATTCTTTAATAACTTTTCATGTGAAAAATTTAAATATCAACATCAAATTCAAACAGTAACTGAATATCAAATTCAAACAATACTTCAAATATAGGATGTAGATACAAGTTCAAATTCTGTTTTGGAAGTTAACAATAAAAGACTCGTTTCACTTTGAATCTTACTCTGAAAGATGATTTTCTGGATGCAATATAAATCTGCTATTAACAAAGAAAATGGTTGCTGCTGTTTGTACCTTTAAGATCATAGTTCAAAAGAATTAAGTAAATGTGATAACAAAGGTAAGACAAATATAACCTTTAATCTCTTTCAAAAACTCACAAAATAGGGCCTGGAAATATAACTGAATCACAGTAACTTAAGTTTCATGGTCTCACTTAAAATTTTGTAACAATAGACTGATATTCTACAATGGTAGCAAGATTCATAGTTCTTTCAAATACAGTGAAAAAAAAACTACTAAACTCTCTTATCCAACATAGAGGAGGGCTGGGCTAGGCAGCTGCTCAATCAAACATCCATAATAAATAAAATTTACTCAAAGTACATGTAATGATTAGATCTGCATAGCCTAAAGTCACAGTATGTGATTTGACATTAAATTTTATCATTTTAGAAGTCAGAAAGTCAGCACATCGGAATCACTAAAGTATTTCCTGATATACGTAAGTCCCCCCAAATTTGAGACTGACATCAATGACACTCATGCTGTCCATCTAATAATAATTATCAAAGAACTATAACAGTATATAATAAAATCAATGGAAACTAATCAATATAATTCAATATATGACTACCAGGAAAATAAAACTTGCCTCAAGACCTTGAGCTACCTTTAAGGAATGAAAATAAACCAGTAACTGGAAAATAACTGTAATAGAGAGAACCAGAGAATTCTGACAACTACCAAATAAGTGCTTTCAGCAGAGAACTGGAAGGATCACAAGATATCTTAAGTTTTTTTCAAGTTATCGTGCCATAAAAAAGTTTTTAAATAACAATGTCCTAAATGCATCTTAGAAGAACTTATTATTGACTGTAGGCAATCAGAAAAAATCAACTCACTGATTTTAACATTATCTTAAAGGCTTAACTAATCCTGAGTCTACCTTACATATTAGAATACACCCCTCAGTATTCTTCCAACATATACTAGAAACAAATTTCATTTGACAATAAGTCAAAAAATTTAAAGAAAATTCTTTGAGAAAAGATATGAATTGAGCCCTTTCCCTTAAACACTGAAAAACAAAAAAACAAAAAAACAAAAAACAATAATCTTATACCAAAGAAGGCTGAGCAAGGAGTCAGGGACACAAAGGACCAGAGGGAAATTGCTAAGGTCACTTGCAAGCTATCTGATTCTAAAGTGAAAACACTTCCCTCTGAGCTATACAAACTGGTCTGGCATTTTTTTATATAACGTCTAACAAAGTTTTCTTTTACATTCAATTACATGAGTTGACATACTTGAGCCCTGCAAATCTGAATGCTAATTAGCATACAGCGATTTTTCTCATTCATTCCACAAACTGCAAGCTTCTTATGTTTAAGGCACAGTGCTACATCAAACCTGAACATTATGATCATCACTGCTCCTGGGAACAAATTACTAGCAGAAAAACTGAACACAGGTGAGTGTTTCAGGCCTGTATCAGGACAGTGTGGTTCCCTAAATTGAAGGGAACACAGGAATGTCCAGGGAAGCTTACTTGAACACAGCATTGAAAGGATCAAACTGGCCCTGCTGGTCAGAACCTGTGGGGTTGATGCCTTTTAGTTTACTTACATTTGTAACAAGTATGTTGTCCCACCCCTCCAAGCCTCTACAGGCTATCAATGAGACTCACTCTCCATCTCAATCGCCCCCCCCCCCTTCACACACACTCACACACACCCATTGACAGGAAAACTGTGCTGAAGGACTGTACTGAAGGACCAGATTAGGACCCAGAATCAGGGGCCAATTGCAGGCTGCTGGTCTTGAACGAGTTTTTTAAAATGGCTAATCCTCCCAGACTACGAACTTCTCCTGTCCTTTTTGCTTTGTTACAGACTTTAAGGACCTGACATGTCAACTCGGTAAGCCATGGAGGAGATGGAGCCTGCAGTCTCAAACCTCCCCGCACGACGGTCCTGTATCTCCAAGAGGAAGGGGGGGTGAGTCATTCCTGTCTCCAGGCCTCTGGTCCACGATAAGGGCGCAAGGGGATCAGTGAGCTTGAAGTTGTGTTGGGGGCGATCGCCAAAAGCAGCTCGCAAGAAGCCATTGGGCAAGAAGCAAGAAGGGGTCCTTTGGAAGCAGACATCACTGGTCATCATTGTCGTCATCGTCCTGGTCCTGGTAGCGTATGTAGACGACCAACATGACAAATCCCAAGAGGATGCAGAGGGAGCCGACCACCAGGTAGGCGATGCCCAGGAAAGGGTTCTTACCACCCATCCATGAGATGTTGCTGAAGATGATGAGCTTGTGGCCACCGAAGGAGCGCACAGGATAGTTGTAGGTGATGTTGACCCGGTAAGTGCCCCGGGGCAGCCCGGCCGAGTAGTTGCCCTGCCGGATGCGCGCGTACAGCTTGCGAAACGTGGGCAGCGCCGCCGTGCGCATCCACACCACGAAGTCCTGGTTGATGAAGCCGGTGTTGTTGGGATCCGTGCTGAGCTCGTAGACAGGCCGGTGCCAGTTGGGCGGCGGTGCCGTGCCGAGGAAGGCCAGCGCCAGGCTGCCGTTCACTAGTGGTGGGTTGCGGAACTTGACGTGGTAGTCGGTCCACCATGCGATGGCGGTGCGGTCGAGCGGCACCTCGACGTAGGGTCCGCCTTGCGGCCGCTGGTGCCACAACGAGAAAGAGTCGTTGAAGAGGCTGTTGGCGATGGCGCCGCAGGGCGCGATGGGCAGCCCGGAGGCGCTGAACTGGTAGGGAGCGCACTCGTTGGCCGGGTGGCGCAGTGCGCTGACCAGGCCGCTGAGCTGCGCGTCGTCGCGGGACACGCCGTAGCGCCGGTTGTTCTGGTAGAAGTTGGACAGCTCGTAGTAGAGGTAGACGGGGCCCGGGAACAGCTCGGCCAGCGAGAAGTACCAGGCGCATGAGCAGTTGGGCGGCGGCGCGCGGCCCTGGCCCTCGGTGGCGCACACCGAGCAGTTGCTGGTGCCCAGGTCGCCCGTGTAGTCGTACTCCAGTTCCTTGATGCCGTTGGAGGAGTAGAAGAGGCCGAGGCCCAGGCCGATGAAGGCCAGGCCGGCGCAGAAGAACAGCGGCAGCGTGATGCCGGCCGACAGCAGCGGCTGCCAGGCGGGGAGGCGCTGCTGCGTGAACGCGGTGTTGTCCGGCTGGTGCGCGCCCCGCGCAGAGACGCTCCAGGTCATGGCGGCGGCCCGGGGCGCTCCCAGCCGAGGCCTGCGGCGGGCCGCCGGGCTCCGAGCGCTGAGCAAGCCCGAGGGCTACTCCGGGGCCCGCCTCCCGCCAGCACAGGTGCGTTCCCGCGCCGCCCCGCCCCCTGCGCAGGTGAGGCTGAGCTCCTGGCTGTCCGCCCGCGCCCCTCAATTCCGCCACCGCCCAGTGACCCGAGGGGCTCCGCCCCTGCGCCGCGCCCTTCCGAGGTGAGCCCGGGCAAGGTACGTCTCACCTGGCCGGCTCTGCCTTGCAGGCCCTCCCGGTCCGGCTCCTCCTCCTCCTCCCCCTTCCTCCTCCTCCAAGCTGAGTGACAGCCTCTGGCTGCCTCGGAGTGGCTCATTCCTCTCTCAGGTAGCTGCGTTCCCTTCCAAGCTTTCCAAGTTAGCTAGAGGGACTGAGCCGCTTTTCCAGTTGGGGTGTGGCCCCTCAGCCTCCAGCAGAAAGTTCCACGGTCTACTTGCTACTGTGATGCTGGAGGCTTGAAGATTCCAGGTGGTTAATCCTGTTTACCGAGAGGAGTGAATCTAGATTGCTAGGTCTTCGTAGGTTAATGTATGGACCCACCAATTTTGACTCAGGTTTCAGCCACAAATGGTAGTAATGTGTGGAAATGACATTATGGAAAAAGTTTCAAATTCAA